CGGAGGATCCAGGCCTCCGGGGCCGGCCTGGACTGGGGGGGTGGGGGGAACCGGCGACGGAGGCTCCAGGCCTCCGGCGCCGGCCTGGACTGGGGGCGGGGGGTGGGGGGAACCGGCGACGGAGGCTCCCCTCCAGGAGGGGAGGGAGGCGGCGGACGGGCCGTGCAGGGCCCGTTCGCCAGGCAGGATGGGTGCTGGAGGTAGGGAAGCCGGCGGACGGAGCCTATCGGCTCCGTTCGCCGCTGGGCTGAAAGCGTCCCTTACCGTATGTGGGGAAGATGGCCGCTCAGAAGAGCTGGCTCCGATGACTGGCTCCCTCCCCTCCCAGCCACCTAGCCAATGGCAGGGCAGGTTGGCTGAGGGAGCCAGTCATTGGAGGCAGCTCTCCTGAGTGGCATATTTTCCACCCATACACTAACGGGGCGCATTTTAGAATTTTGGCACCCAAAACGCTTTGAACTCCTTGTCTTAAAATATTTTATTCATCATGTTAAAATAAAACGTTCCATAATCAATTTCTTTTCGTTTTTCAATTTTTCCAATTTTTCAGGAAAAAAAGGCTTCAAGAAAAAACCGGGGAAAAACCGTTTCCCCCCCGAATTTTTCCATTTTTTAGTGGGGTATAAATCCAATCCTCCTTCATCTTCTTTGGGGCAATCTTTGCAGGATGTGTGCCCCGATTATTATCTGCTTTTAAATACCACTGCACCAAACTGGTGTACGCAGACAAAACTTATAAACCTAAATGCCAACAGCTTCTGAAAAAGAAACAGCCGCAGAATAAAGAAAAAAGAAAACACCTCTTTGTCTTAACAGAGAACATAATTTGCTCAGAAAGAGAACAAATGCACCCATCTAAGAATGCACCCGTTTTTGTGCCAAATACATATTTCTCTAGCAAAACAAGTGATTCCCCTCCATATCCCTAGTACTTAAACGTGAGACAGACACCTCTGAGTTGATTCCGTCCAAAGCAGGTCAGTAACGCTATAATCGAGGCTCCCATATCAATTTTTCTAGTTACTGTCCTCAATTTTGTGTTTGGCAGCACCTCCTACATCTAATGCGGATATTATCCATCTCACGCTGCCCCTCTCCTGACGCATGACCCAAATAAATTCCTTTTTTAAAAGACTCTGCATTTCCTTATGGTCTTGACAAATAAATTCCTCCTGGCTTTCAGTACCTGACTGAAGGTTTGTTTTTTGTTTGTTTAAACGACAGCTGGGTGTCTCAGAAGGACAGCTGATGTGCAAGGGAAATTAGAGAAGTACAGCGTTTGGGGTCAGATTCTCTTGTTTGCAGTGTGGTTTCACCCACACAGGAAACCAGTTTAGCAGCAATAATAAATGAGAACTAAAGGTGCAATAGAACCCAATCTTAGACAAAAAATAGAGCACGCTCTTCATTTTTAAGGAAGCAGTTGTTCAAACCTGTCCTACAATGGTGGTGGTGGAAAGTCCCACCAAGTTGCAGCCCACGTATGGTGAGCCTGTAGAGCAGCGGTGTCAAGACTAGTTTCTTAAGAGGGCCAGATCGGACATAAAAGTTACTTTGTCAGGCTGGGCCACGCCTGCCATAAATTGTAATATCAGGTACCGGAGATATAAACTTTATAAACAACACAGACAAACCTAATTTTGAAGAAAGGTTAAAGCACTTGAGGCTCTTCAGCTCGGAGAAACGACAGCTGAGGGGCGACATGAGCGAGGTTTATAAGATTCTGCAGGGGATAGAGCAGGTCGAGAAAGAAGTCCTCTTCTCCCTTTCTCACAAGACAAGAACTTGTGGGCACTCCATGAAATCGCTGAGCAGTCGGGTTGGAGCGGATAAAAGGAAGTCATTCTTCACCCAAAGAGTGATGAACACATGGAATTCACTGCCACAGGAGGTGGTGGCGGCTATAAGGATGGACAGCTTCAAGAAGGAACTGGATAAACATATGGAGCAGAGGTCCATCAGTGGCTATGAGCCACAAGGTATAGATAGGAACTCTTGGTCTGGGCCAAGGGATGCTCTGTATTCTTGGTGCTTGGGGGGGGGGGGGAACAGGGGGGGGGCTTCTAGTGTCCTGGCCCCACTGCTGGACTTCCTGAGGGCACCTGGCGTTTTTGGCCACTGTGTGACACAGAGTGTTGGACTGGATGGGCCATTGGCCTGATCCAACATTGACTTTTCTTATGTTCTTAATTAAAAACACTTTTTAAACTCAAAATACAAAAACAAAAGGAATTGATTCCTAGGACTGAAAGCAATTGATTTACTGGGGAATACACAAAAAACCCCAATAAATGTATTTAATCATATGCAAGACTAGGGTTTTCCCAAGGGATACCATACCCGCCCCCTAGCCATTCCCTTTCATTTCCTGACAGCTTTGACCCCACACACCTCACCGTCTGTGTCTGCATGCCTGTTTCCCCCCCCCAGCAGCCCCCTGCTTCCCTCTCTTGCACCTGTTGCTTGCGGGCCAAATAAGAGCCCTGGAGGGGCTGCTTCCGGCCCCTGGGCCTCATCTTTGACACCCCTGGGGTTTTCAAGGCAAGAGAGGAAGCAGAGGTGGTTTGCCGATACCTTCTTCTGTGCAGTGACCCTGGACTTCCTTGGTGGTTTCCCATCCTATGTAATGACCAGGGCTGCACCTGCTTAGCTTCTGAGATCTGAGAAGAACGGGCTGCCCTAGACTACCCAGGTCAGAGCTCTTCTACAACCGTTGACCTGGGGGGGGGGGGGGGGAGGGTGCAAGAACATCAGACGATGTACCTTGCTTGTAACTGCCAGCGTTGCCCGGAAGGAAGAGGACTGGAATCCCAGTTAACACCAGATTTCTGTTTTCTTCCGCGTAACTTCCTTCCCCGTAGAGATAGAGCTCATAAGCCGGATAACGTCGGAGTATTTTCTTAGGCAGCTTTATTTTCTGTAACACATAAGAGGCAGCGTTAACAAGTTAAAGATCATGATTTTCGTAACTGGAAAAGGGACAACAGCGATGGGGGTGTCCCCTAACGTAGTGCTCCGTGGGGGCCGTGGTGCACACCAACACCTTCCCTGGTGCCCACCAAGACTTCTGATTGCCCACTGGAGATCCGACCGGCTATGCAGAATCTTTAAACCTTGTTTTAGTGGTAGCTGCCACCGCAGCAGAAGGATCTTCTGAAGCATGGACGGCTTCAAGAGGGAATTAGATAAGCATATGGAGCAGAGGTCCATCAGTGGCTGTCAGCCACAAGGTATAGATAGGGGCTCTGGAGCAAGTGATGCTCTGTCTTCTTGGTGCTTGGGGGGGGGGTCAACAGCAGTGTTCCCTCTAGGCTGAGTTAGTGTGAGCTAGCTCACAGTTTTTTAGCCTTTGGCTCAGAAATTTTTGTCTTGGCTCAGGAAGGATGGATCCAGAGCAAACTAATTTATGCAGTAGCCAAACCACCTGCTCACTGGCCCCACTGCTGGACCTCCTGATGGGATCTGGTATTTTTGGCCACTGTGTGATACAGAGTGTTGGGCTGGATGGGCCTTTGGCCTGATCCAACATTGGCGTCTCTTATGTTCTTATGATCTTCACTGTGATACTGAAGACAGAAGAAGAGATTTGATTTATACCCCGCCCTTCACTCGGAGTCTCAGAGCGGCTTACAAACTCCTTTCCTTCCCCCTCCCCACAACAGACACCCTTTGTGAGGCAGGCAGGGCTGAGGGAGCTCTGAGAGAACTGCCCTTGAGAGAACAGCTCTGAGAGAACTTGTGACTGACCCAAGGTCACTCCAGCAGCTGCAAGTGGAGGCGTGGGGAATCAAACCCGGTTCCCCCAAATGAGAGTCCGCGCACTTAACCACTACACTAAACCAGAAGAGATTGGATTTATACCCCGCCCTTCACTACACGAAGGAGTCTCAGAGCGGTTTACAAACTCCTTTCCCTCCCCCTCCCCACAACAGACACCCTGTGAGGTAGGCAGGGCTCAGAGAGCTCTGACAGAAACTGCTCTTTTTCAAGGACAGCTCTTGTCAGAACTATGGCTTGCCCAAGGTCATCCAGCCAGGTGCAAGCGGAGGAGTGGGGAATCAAACCCGGTTCTCCCAGATTAGAGTCCGCACACTTAACCACCGCACCAAACCTCCAGCAGCCATTTTTGTGGCTGGCTCCGCCTTCTGTGGCAGCCATTTTGTGGCGGCCGTTTTGTGTTTGCAAACCCCCACGCTGTGTCAGAACTTAGAAAAAAACCTCATACATTAACTTAAGATGATCCAAACAAAGTAAGGAAAGCAATCCCAAATGCTTTCATTTACTTAAAATTATTTGGCAAAGAATTCGACACTTTAATGGTCTGGGCCTGGCTGGAGCGATGGCACGCGTGCCCACTAAGAGGGCTCTGAGTGCCACTCTGGCACCCGTGCCATAGGTTCGTCACCACTGCTCTAGGGTCTTTCTCATCACCTACTATCTGATCCTTACAACTGGAGGAGGAGGAGGACATTAGATTTATACCTCACCACTACCCAAAGGAGTCAGCTTACAATCTCCTTCCCTTCCCCTCTCCTCCCCACAACAGACACTCGGTGAGGTAGGTGGGGCTGAGAGAGCTCTCTCCAGAACTGCCCTTGAGAGAACAGCTCTGAAAGAACTTATGACTGACCCAAGGTCACACAGGCAGCTGCATGTGGAGAAGTGGGGAATCAAACCCAGTTCTCCCAGATAAGAGTCCACACTCCTAACCACTACACCAAACAGGCTCTCTGGACATGCTGGGGATTAAACCTGGGATATTCTGCATGCTGAGATGATGCTCTACTGTTGAGTCATGGTCCCTCCCCTCTTCCAACTTCAGCTGTTCTGCAAGGGGGACTCTGGGCTCGGAAAGAGCCTCCCGTCACCACCCCCTCTAGGCACCCCTTGGAATCCTCCTCTAGGCTTGTAGCATTTGCGTTGCCTGAAGAGGTCAACGCCCACCTTCACAAGGCCAAAACAATTAATCCCTGCCCCGAGCCAGGGTTTAGCATCTAAACAATGCCTTTTGCGGTGGAGAATTTCCTGGTAGCAAAGGGCACATGCACCAGCCAAAGATGCTGGAGACAGTTTGGGGGTTTGGGAGGACTGAAAGGGGACGCTTGGTCTCCCATTATCCCATGAAGAAAGGTTAAAGTGCTTGGGGCTCTTTAGCTTGGAGAAACGATGGCTGAGGGGTGTCATGATCGAGGTTTATAAGATCATGCGTGGGGTAGAGCAGGTAGAGAAAGAGGTACTTTTCTCCCTTTCTCACAATACAAGAACTCCTTGTGGGCACTCCATGAAATTGCTGAGCGGTTGGGTCAGAACAGATAAAAGGAAGTCCTTCTTCACCCAAAGAGTGATGAACACACTGCCACAGGAGGTGGTGGCAGCTACAAGCAGGGACAGCTTCAAGGGGGAATTAGATAAGCATACGGAGCAGAGGTCCATCAGTGGCTATTAGTCACAAGGTATAGATGGGAACTCTCGGTCTAGGGCAAGGGATGCTCTGTCTTCTGGGTGCTTGGGGGGGGTAACAGTGGGAGGGCTTCTAGTGTCCTGGCCCCACTGGTGGACCTCCTGACGGCACCTGGTATCTTTGGCCACTGTGTGACTCAGAGTGTTGGACTGGATGGGCCATTGGCCTGATCCAACATCGGGCTTTTCTTATGTTCTTATTATCCCCATCTTTTGGGCTATCAACATTTCTATATGCCAGGGCCCAAGGCTGCTGACAGAAAACAGCATCTTTCCACTTGCAGTTAACTTAGGCGCCGTTCTTAAACTACAGAAACATTAGATTCTAAAGTGGAAATCTGGGTTCAAGCCCCATCACGCGGATGGGAGACCTTCAGCAAGTATCTGCCCCTCAGTGCTCCGAGCAACAGTAAAGGAATGTCGATTGCCTACTTTAGAGGAGTCCCTCCCAAGGATGGCCAAGGGAACGATCCAACAGCACTCTGTGTGCCAGAAACACAGAAATGTTTTCCTGGCCTTGGGAATGTCATTTTGTCTAATTGACTTAATAGGCTTACACAAAAAGTCAGCGACAGTGAAATTGAATTTGTTTCACGTCAGTTGCTTTGGCATCGGTCACTGGTCCTATACTTGTCCTAAGCGAGATGCATAGTGGGCCACGTATAAATTAGAGTTGCATTAAGTGCCTATAACGACATTAAGATGCAGCCTTGCCGTTTGCTCTAACATGTCCAACGGAACAGTCGTATCAGATTTTAAGCAACTGGCTCGGAAGACGTTTACTCCAAAAATGCTACGATCATGCGCTCTATTTATGCTAATGAAAGAGGGGCCTTCCCGAATCCTTTAATCCAAGTCACCCAGTGCATGAAATTCACAGATTTCTGAAGACCAATGCTCCTTCTATGAGCGTGTTCATACAGCCACAAAATGCTGCGACCCTATTATTTATTTAAAACAGTTTAATCCCACATCTCCTTGGAGGCAACGTGGCGGTCATGAGAGACCGATCCCACACGTTTTATAAAATGATTCTTCAAGGGTGGTGGATTGTCAGCAGAAGAAAAGGGAGGAGAAATCTCATTCTCGAGAGACGCTGTTGGCTTTTGACTTCCAGTCCTGAACGAATACATTGTACTGCTATGAAAAAACAACTCTGGCTGCGGTCACACGGAACAGAAGCCACACAAGTGAGACGGAAAACAAGCGGAGTTTCCGGGCGCGATCTCACCAGCACATCTGGGAAGCGTAGCACTCCCGTGGCTCAACCGAGGCTTCCAGCCGAAACTGCGTGGCAAAAAACTAGTACCTCAGAGGTACTAGTTTCCGGAAACTGCGGGGCAAAGGCGGGCGTCTGATCGCGTTTCCGGTGGCATCCGGCGCCCGCTCATGTCCCCTTGCAAATAAGGTGGGTTTTTTTGTCCAAGTCTCTGTGGATGCGCATGCGCACCCAACGGAGCATGCGCATTTGTCATGTACACACAAAAACAAAACAGTTTGCCGCGGCGCGCGCTTCTTCGTTGCGCGCCGGTTTGTCCTGTGATCGGCACCTCTCCCTTGCCATGGAACCTCCACGGTACCTCCACAGGACCTCCACAGGAGGTCTGATCACGTAACTGCGCAGTAGTTTGCCCCAGGGCAAACAGCCACGCTTCTCCCCCGCAGTTTCCTGCCCGTGTGACCGGGGCCAGCAATAGGCAACTTGGCCAACAGGTACCTGCGGCTGTACGCCATCTTTACTGCACACCGAGTTTGGTCCAGGTGATGTACACAAGGGGGGCCTGGGAGGAATAACCCCTCCTCCTTTTGCCATCACCTTGGCATCTCAACACAGGCCTGTAGCTACGGCGGGGCCTTTGGGGGCTCTGCCCCGCCTTTTAAAGGCACAGCCCCACGAGAATTTCTCTTGTAAGTGCATTTTTCAATCATTTTAAAACATTTTATAAAAGGTGTGCGCTCCTTTCAGTAGTGTGGGGTGCTGCAATTTGACTAATTCTCGAGCTGAGAAAGAGGGTTGGAGTAGGTGACCTCTAGGATCCCTTCTAACTCTGGGTCAAGAAACTGGTCTCCTTTAAGAGAGTTTTTCTGCCTAAGGGTTAGCTTTCTTGACTATAGACGTCATCACTCCCACCTGCCGGCTTGTTCTCAGAAATGTTCCTTAGGCTGGCAGGAGTGATTAACTTGCAGCAGCTGAGAACTGTCACCTCAAGTGGCTGACAACTTGCAATTTAGAGATCTCTCCTGGTCACAGCTTTCTGTTGGCTAAAGGGCTTTTCTTTCTGCACTGACAACTTCAGCCCCACCAGGAAAAAAATTGCCCCACAAGCCACAAAATCCTGGCTCCGAGCCTCTCAAAGCCATCCAATCTGGACAGCCGTGCCTCCCCCATGTACAAAAGCACACCTGGAGCCACGCGAGAACCAAAGTGATCTGAGAATAAGACACCAACTGCCCACC